ATACTATCACCCTATCAGCCCTCTGTGGTAGACCAGACTAGGAAACCAGAGTCATTTAGACAGATGCTACTTTTACTGTAAAGTTACAATAACAGAATCTTGCAAGTCTGAATGCGCTTCCCCCTCCCTTCTTTTATCTTTGTGTGAATCAGGGAGGGGTTTGTCTGAGATGTTTACTCATGTTATGTTCTTGGCCTGGGCTCAGGCCCATTTATCTGACCGTTGCCTTGGCAACAGCTGTTCCTCCTGTCCCTCAAGGCCATTCCCTCTTCCCTTGACACACCCGACCATTCACCCTGCTTTCTCCCCCACCTTCTTCACCGCTGCTGTGCAGAGACAGAACACAATGTGTCCCGGTGTCTTCTTACCCTGCGCACAGGTGACAATGGCCAGGGCAGAACATCAGCAGGCCTGGCGTGATTGGAGGATTTGCAGACCTTGGCAGGTGCCCTAGGACGCTGGTCCTGATCCCTACCTCCTGCATATTTCACATCTTACGAGACCATTCCAAATACACAAGGTAGATCTAACAATGGAGAAAGCCATCCCTGTGGAATTTCTGCCTCGATGATCTGCTGAAGCTATAAGAACCTCAGCTGGGGGATGCTGGAGTGTGGAAGCATCCTGACCTACATTTTTTTCCCCCATTATCCCTTTATCTGTTAATAAACAATGTCACTGCAGCAAGAATACTATATGCTTTTTGTCACAAAGCATGGCTGATTCCTTCCTGGAAGAATGGCTAATCAAGTTATGGGAGTACGCTTTGATGTCTGAAATAACCTCATATTTAAAAAAAGTAAATCCGATGTAGAATTAAATTCTAACCATTCCTGGATACAATTTAACATGGGATTTTGTTCCAAACCACTTTTTAAAAAAATGTTTAGAGTCTATATTCCAATTTTATACAAAATTAGATTTCTAAAGTTGATTTACTTCACCATAGCCTATGACTCTAATTAATTATTTATACTTTGTGAACCAGGTACTCTTAGTTTAAACCTTAATACGATCTTTTGTTTTTTCTTCAAAAAGTGATATAACGTATTTCTTAACTTAACTGTATAACTAATGATATATGTAATAGTAATACTTTATTCATTAGCCATTAGGCCATATTAGAATACAAAATATAAAATACAGAACAAAAGTGACACCATCAGTTAAAAAATAGAGTAAAAGACATGAGTAAAAGAAAATGCAAATCATATTTCTGCATCACCCCTACAATTTACCCCAATCAAATCCACATATGCAGTTCTCAATTGTACTATTTTGTTCAAATAAAGGGCTGTATTATGTGTAATTTTTGGATTCTGTCTGCACACAGAATATGTTGTTTTAATATAAGGATCCCAACAGGCCATTTGCCTAATGCAGGGTTTCTCAACCTTGGTAACTTTAAGATGAGTGGACTTCAACTCCCCGCAATCCCCAGGCCGCCATGGTGGGTTGGGGATTTTTGGGGGTGGTGGGCCATCAACTTTAAAGTTCCCAGGGTGAAGAAAATATGGGTA